TGCATTAACTTGCAATACAAGAAGTATAAAAGGCAAGACAGATGAACCATTACGGAGACATGGTTAAAGGAGGAGCAGGACTAGCGGCTTAACATTCCAGGATATCGCTGTTTTAGATGGGACAGAAAGGGAAACAAAAGGGGTGGGGGAGTTGCATTTTGCTGATTAGGGATCACATTACAGCTGTGTTGAGGGAGGACACATCAGAGGGATCTTGCAGTGAGGCATTATGGATGAAGCTCCGGAATAGAAAGGGTGAAATCACAATGTTGGGAGTTGTCTATAGATCTCCCAACAGCCCACAGGAGACAGAGGAGCAGATATATAGTCAGATACTGGAAAAGTGTCAAAAAAGCAGGGTAGTTGTGGTGGGTGACTTCAAGTTTCCTTTTATTGACTGGGAATCTGTTAGAGCCAGGGGCTCGGACGGAGAGCAATTTGTTGACAATCGAACCAGAGAGGGGGCCATATTAGACTTGGTATCAGGGAATGAGCCAGGACAGGTGATCGATGTTTCAGTAGGAGAGCATTTTGGGTTTAGTGGCCATTACTCCATAAGATTTCGAATCGTCATGGACAAGGACAAGAGTGGCCCTCGAGTGAGGATGCTTAATTGGGCAAAGGCCAATTACATCCAAATTAGACAGGAACTGGGGAATGTGGATTGGGAGCAGTTATTTGAGGGCAAATCTACTTCTGGCATGTGGGAGGCTTTTAAAGACCAATTGACTAAAGTGCAGGACATGCAGGTCCCTGCAAAACTGAAGGACAGGAATGGCAGGACTCAGGAACCATGGATGACAGGGAAATTGTAAACTTAGTCAGAAGGGAAAAGGAAGCATACAATAGGTCAAGGCAGCTCCAAAACTGACAAAGCCCTGGAGAAGTACAGAGAAATTAGGAAAGAACTTAAATGCGCAATTATGAAGGCATAAAGGGGCCATGAAATGTCTTTAACAAACACGGTCAAGGAGAATCCCAAGGCTTTTTATGCATATATTAGAAGAAAGAGGGTAGCAAGGGAAAGAGTAGGCCCACTCAAGGACAAAAGCAGGAAATTATACGTGGAACCACAGGAAGTGGGAGAGATCCTTAATGAGTACCTTGTATCGGTATTCACTAAGGCGAAGGACATGAGTGATGTTGAGCTCAGGGATGAGTGTGTGAATATTCTAGAGAATGTCAGTGTATTGAAGGAGGATGTGTTTGGGTATCCTAAATTGTATTAAGGTAGACAAGTCCCCAGGGCCAGATGGGATCTATCGCAGGTTACTGCAAGAGGAAAGGGAAGAAATAGCTGGGTCATTAACAGATATCTTCACATCCTCTTTAACCACAGGCGAGGTTCCAGAGGACTGGAGGTTAGCCAGTGTCATTCCATTGTTTAAGAAAGGAAGGAGGGATAATCCAGGAAATTACAGGCCGGTGAGCCTGATGTCTGTGGTGGGGAAACTCTTGGAGAAGATGCTGAGGAACAAGGTATATGCACATTTGGAAGAAAATGGACGAGTTGGTGACAGGCAGCAAGAGGTAGATCATGTCTCACCAATCTGATTGAATTTTTTGAAGAGGTGACATAGATAATTGATGAGGGAAGGGCTGTGGATGTAGTTTATATGGACGTTAGTAAGGCCTTTGATAAAGGTCTCACATGGCAGATTAGTACAAAAACTAAAGTCACATGGAATTCGGGGTGGCCTGGCTAGATGGATAGAAAACTGGCTTGCTCATAGTAGACACAGGGTAGCTGTGGAAGGATGTTTTTCGGAATGAAGACCAGTAACTAGTGGTGTTCCACAGGGATCAGTCTTAGGTCCTTTGTAAATGATCTGGAGGAAAATGTGGGCGGTCTGATTAGTAGGTTTGCAGATGACATGAAAATTGGTGGAGTTGCTGATAGAGCCGATGATTGAGAAAGAATACAACAGGATATAGATAGATTGGCAACTTGGGCACAGAAATGGCAGATGGAGTTTCATCCAGACAAATGCGAGGTGATGCATTTTGGAGGATCAAATTTAGGTGTGAATTATACTGTAAATGGAAAAACCCTGAGGAACATTAACATTCAGATGGATCTGGGCGTGCAGGTCCACAGTTCCCTGAAAGTGACAACACAGGTAGCCAAGGTGATTAAGATGGTATATGGCATGCTTGCCTTCATCGGCCAGAGCATGGAGTATGAGAGTT